CTAAGGGCTGCTAAGCAACCAGGGCTACCATAAACACAGCCATGACTCGGCAGGTTTTTCCTCACTGCACATGCATTTGGGTGATTTACTTTGTCCATGCAAAGATGGAACATTTGCATGTACCTAGAGCATATTTAAAGGTGTGGGAGGAGGAAAGTAATGATACTTTGATCCCAGGATCCATGTTTTGTGTTTTCCTTGTACAATTCTTTCTTTTTATACCTTTGAAAGTTAAAAAAAAAAAGATTTCTAAGCATTTAATGGCATACTTGTAAACTCAAAACGTTTTCATCTATATCTGAAAAGTGCATGTTGAGTTCTGTCTGTCTTCTGTTACCGTCACAGACACAGTTTTATCTTTTCTACATTTTCTTTTACAGTTCTTTGGAATTGCTTTTGAATATTCGTGGTAGCACCGCCCCAGAGTGTGAATTCCTGTAATTAGAGCCGACTGTTAAACGCTGTGGTATGCAGTGTGTGATGACCAGCACTTGTCATGCATTTCTGAGCCATAAACAAACATAAAGAGTCCATTTATGAATGTAAACACAGGTGAAAGCTGCCTTACATATTTTGAAAAAATTATGTCAAGTATATGTTTGGATAAAAATGGCTGGCTCGCACAGAAACACCTATAAGCTGAAGGTAAAGATGTTACAGAAAGGGTTTTCAATTTCACTTGGACACATGCTGCTCTCCCTACTTTTTTTTGCAGCTCTACATTTTTTAAGCAGATAATGGCAGCTGTTCCCAAAAGGGGACATAAACAAAGTCAAAGCATGATTTTTCCCCAAAGGGGGCAGTCAAGATTTAGCTGTTTAGAGTAAAAAACAGCTGGTAGGTCACTGAATTGCCTCTTTTCTTTTTTGTAGCTGTAACTGAGAGACATCAGTCATGATTGGTCTGCTCATTTGCCCACAGTGTTGAAAAGAGCGTGTATATCTATGTTTATACACACATGTATGAACCTAGTGACCCTCCCTAGACATGCTTCCGAGAAGAGCTGCTATTGGCTCAGAGGCGTAGGCTGGTCTGTAAATGACTTCAGCCAAGCCCTCATTTTTTTCTTTTCTTCTTTGGTTTGAGCAGAGCTTAAGTTACTGCCTCTCAAAACACACACAGACTTTTTTCTTCTTCCTGCTCTGGAGGAGGAGCTTCAGCCCTCATAAAAAACAGTTTTAGATGTAACCAAGCTGCCTACAACACAAAGAATACCTGTGTTTAAATATCTGCGGCATTACAGAGCTGATTACAGGCGCAGTCCTTTCAAATCCTTTATGAGGAATGTTTTGTTTTTTTAAAAAGAAACCTGTTGGGCTGTTTTTTTGGTTTTTTTGTTCCTTTAAAAATGTTCATCATTGGAAAATATTGTGAAATTAGGCTGGAATAACTACTGAAAGCTTCTTTTACCAATCTGTTTTGATTTTATGGCCCACAAAGATGCTAAGATGCAAAAAAGCCAAAAAAAGAGCTCATTAAGTAATCACAAACTTCTGCAACTTCATTTGTCAATTTGATAAATATTTCTATATCAAAAAGATTTAATTCAGGAGAACTATTCTCTGCTTTTCAAGTCAAGTATCTTTGCATAAGTGACAGTTAAAGATTATCAATGCTATACTCAATCTTGGTGCCATCTTTCTCTTCATCCCCCTTTTAAACCAAATTTTCTCTGATCTTGATGCATGCTCAGTCATCCAAGCAAGGAAATTCCAGGAAGTCGATTCGGTTGATCTGGATGTTGAACTTTCAGAGGAAGAGACATTTTGTAACTCATCAGTCACTTGGATGAGTGAGTAAACATTCCTTCCTCTCAAACACAACGTCTAGATGAACAGAATCAACTTTCTAGGAAACAATATCTACTTGGTGGCAGGATATGATCACCTAAGTTGTAAGCAGATTATCTCTGGTCACCTGCTGTTTAAACCTAAGCTTTTGCAAGTGGAAAGAGAAGAACGACTTTAAGGAAGGGGATTATTAATCAGAGAGGATTATTTAAACAGTGATTCATGCAAAGGTATTCTAGTAGAGTGTAAGAATAATGTATGAATGAGCAGACAGGCAGCCCATGTGAGGTTACACTTATACCAGCCAAGAGAAATACAAGTCTTCAGCAGGCTGAAGTTAAATGAAATTGGGCAGCTATGATATGAAACCAAAAACATAGGCTTATCAGTAGAGTCTCAGTTCTGAGGCATTTCGTTCAACAACACAAATCAATGGAACCAATCAGCCTTGTGTTAGCAGTTCAGGTGACTGATGGAAATCTTTTCTTGGCAACTCTTGGGCCCCTAAATACCATTCATTCACCTTTAAATGCCACAGCCTATCTGAGTGTTGTTGGTTATGTGCTTTCCTTTTTGGCCATAATTGACAGTCTTCTGATGGCCACCACCAAAGTGATAAGAATAGAAGTAATCTGAAATGGTAGTCACGAAACCACGATTAATTTTCAGTCACCAGATCGGAATGTTGTAGAACATCATTGAGATGTGGACAATGGCACATTATTATGGTTTCCTCATAAAAATTCTTGGTAAGAGCAATGTGAAATTTTCTACCTGATTAGCTTTGTAAAGGAACAAACGTCATTCTGCACTGCTCCATGTTAAAGACTTTAACAACCTTTAGACAAGGTGATTTTTCACCTCCTTTTTACCTCATGTTTGTTCATTTTACAAGCTTGACTTCTTAGACTTGAATGGCCATTGGAAACTTTTTCTGCTGGTGTTTCAAGGTGGAGTTGAGATTATTAAAAAAATGTAATAGCTAAGCGAAGGAGAGATCCTTGATTTGTGTCATCTCTTAATCAGTTCAGTGGGTTTGAATATAAAAATACTTAAAACTAAAACTAGGTTTCTTCAGGATACTCTAGTTAAAACAATGACACTTTGAGGTGACATCTACTCTCATAAAGGTCAGATCCTTTGTTGCCAAAATACAAGGAAGGTATCTGTTATGAATCACTGTACCAAAGGATTTGGCACGAATCACGCGGGGTAGGAAAAAAAAACATTAATCATCAACAAGATGACTGGTTTTAAGGAAATGAAGGATTGGAATAGTAAGCAACAATGGATTTAATCGAAGTTCAATCTTGAGCATGTGAAGCCTTTTGAGATACATAAGAAAATGCAATGTTAAGGTATACAGTTTAACCGACGTTTTTAGAAAACTAGCACTCAGAGGTGGTCATGTGCACAGTTAGCTGAAGCAGAAATGGGTCAGTGTTGGTTAGGGCTGCCACAAACGATTATTTTGATAGTCGACTAGTCACCGATTATTTTTGCGATTAGTCGACTAATCAGAGCATGCATCCATTGGACGTAAAACGTACAGCTTATTGCACCAGCATGCATCTGCTCTTATATAACTATCATTAGCTTACAGCTTTAAGTGTTTACGATATGTGCTAACTAAAAATAAAGACAAGATGATAGTTTATTAAATTTTAATGAAATTTGCAGATTGTTTCGGTGAAGTTTAATAAACGTTTATTCAGCTGTGTAAAAACTTTAATCTCAGCCAAACCGATTTACTCAG